GCCAGCTGACTCATTTTCAAGTGCTGGTGACACTGGAGTTGGATTCGCTCAGCGCTTGCAGGGAGCAGACAGGGGTCTGCACCTCCTCCTGAAGGTCAGCACCGAGGAGCCGCAGGCGCCAAACAAACATGTGACCGCCCAAATGCCGGCTTATCCGCACCGAGCTGAACCGGGACCTGAACCAGCATCACACAAGCATCGCTCGCAGGGAAGGGCTCCTCCACGAGCCGTCTTCACCAGCTCTGACACTGAGGAGTTATCTCCTGGCTCTCAAGCAGCACTTCCATCTGCCAGCGCCGAGGTGACGTCCAGCGCCAGCTTCCAGTGCTGGCGTTAGGGATGCGGGCAGGCCAGAGTCGCGTGACGCTCGGAGCCGAGGGGCTCCGCGCCCGCCTCACATCCCGGGGCGGCTTCTTTTCACCCAGCGCCCGGCTGCGGGGGGAAAACAGGCTGCATCTTTCTAAGAAAGCTCTGAATGGAGCTGGGCAATTTATATTGTCTGAGGCTTAAAAAGAAATTGAAAAGGAGGAGGAAAACAAGCGGGGGAAATAGGATGTTAGCATTCCCCGCAGCACCACGACGGCCACCCCGTCAATGAAGCTAATCCCTCTCCTCCACAAACAGCTCTTTGTCCTTTTTCCTCCTCCAAAGCAGCAGCTTTCCCAGCAAGAAAAAAATAAACAAAAAATAAACAACAATAAAACAATCCTCCGCAGGAACCCACACACTAAAACAGTATTTAAAAAGAGAGAAACATGGGAAGGAAAAAAAAAGCAAGACTGGTATAAAGAGCGGTCGGCTCCTCCAAGTAATGGGAACGTCTCTCCGGCTGCAGAAGGATTGGTCACAGGTACCGTGGCGTGGGCGCGCAGGCTGCTGGAGTTCAGACAAATTAAAAAGAGAGGAAAGTCGTCTTCCTCTCAAGGAAGTCTCAACATGAGCAGTCCAAAAGGTGGAAAATCTGCAGTAGGTGATAACCACCAGAAATTTTCCCAACCTGCTTAAAAACATCCATTGACAGCTTTTGTTTATTTTCTAGATTCTCAAAGTTACGTGCTATCTCCAAAGTTGAATGCAAGAGAAAAAATAACACTTCTCCCATCAAAAAGGATTCTTAAAGGCCCTGGGAAGAAAAAAGATCAACACGTAATGCAATCAGCTACTGATCTCAGTAGTAAGCGCAATGACCCAGAAGTGAATCAAAACTGAAGTCCCTCATGAGAAACCATTCTTTCCAGAATATCACGGCAAATTTCAAATAAAATAGGCAACATGGTGCACTATTGCATGGCACTTGAAATAGCAGACTCCTATAATGACAGCCCATCCTTGTACTTCTACCACAGCCTCAAATACATCTCTGGGAGAAAAATATTTAAAATCCTGGTTTATGGAAAATGAAACACAGAGATTACTTCTCTTTTAATACTTCTCCTGTTAATACCGACAGAGGCAGCACCACATTTTTTTAGAATCACATGCTTTGAAAAAATCCAGCGAGTGACCTGTTGGACAGAGACCTTAAACCGCAGACACATTTGCAGGATTTTGCAGTCGGAAGGGAAAAGGCCCCAATAAATTCAGAAGCAGCAAGCAGCAGCTGCCTTCTTTCTGTTACACAGCACCTAGATTGGTCAAGCTGGCAACAGAATGAAGCATATGCTCCCCTAAGTCAATCTGAAATTCAGAGAGATGTCAATATTTGCACTACACGCTACAAAATATGAATCATCCATCAATAACACACATTTTGCATGCCTGTTGAAATACTTATACTACACACAGGATGCTTCATCTCTTACATGTGATACAGTTATGAAAGTTGTTTTGTTCATCACCTCTGCTAGGCTTTTAATTTTACACACTTCTCTCCCCTACGGCTGTCCACTTCTCTTAACATAACACTGCAGCAAGGGAACGGGTTGGGAATATAGAGCGACGGAGGCTGCGGGGCCGTAACGCTATGGAGGGTGGAACGGGAAACTGAGCCTGCTGGGCAAAGTCGCCAGGAAATAACAGCTGACAAAAATTGCATTTGCAGGTAACTGGACTGGAAATTTGTATTTATTGGGGAAAATAAAAACAAAGCACAAAATATTGTTTTTATTAAGTCAGAGCGAGAGCAGGAACCAGATAGGGAGGCAATTTTCTTCCTGTGCCACCATGAATTCGTCCCAACCTCTAACATGCAATTTCCCTCCGGAGCTTCTGGAGGAAAGCGAGGATTATGCTCAGTTGTTCCCTGGGCTTGAATAATGAAGCCAAAAAAATCCCAATAAGCACCTTATGCAGCAATATAGACCAGATAAGAATTTCTATTAGCAAAGCTCCCAAAACATCCGAGAACAGCACTGCAATAAATATTCAGATAACCAGCTAACAAGAAAAATGTTTCTTTAGTTACCGGATTATCTTTTTCAGAGGAACCTGTGCTATTAGAGACTGCTTCAAGGAAACCCAATACAGCTCACGGAGCCTAGAAATGCAATGCTAAGCTATGTAAACGTAACATGCACTTTTATTTCACCTTTTCCAGTAATAACATTTTCACAGTGGAAAGCTGTGAACACTCTGAAAAATATGGAAATGAGGACAATTAAATTAGCCCTATTATGGATGCTAAATAGCCTGTTGTGATTGCACTTGGCATCCTTAGCACAATGCTGCAGAGCTGAACAATGAGTCCTTTCTAAACAAAAATTATGGGGCTTTAGAAATGGTAAAACATGTTACTTATTCCAGTCATACCTGTTTGCAGATGGTATTTTCAAGCCTAAACCCTTTCTGAAAAGTTATTAATACATCCTGAAATTCGTCTTTTTAGCATTTTCATACCCAAAGCAGGTAGATGGCACATCGGGGCCAGCCACAGCCAGCTGGTGCTTCTAGGTGAGGCCAACCTCTCTCCAGGAGCTGCTTAGTAGCAGCGAAAAGTTGGGAAGACTCTTCCCAAAACCCTTGAACATCCTTCCTTGACAAATCAAACCAAAACACTCTCCTTCTGCAAAAAAATCGGGGAAAGGTATGAAAGCCCAGTGAGATGTATCCTAGCTGGTGCTTCACTTTAAGAGAGGTAAGTATTAGACACTCCCGTGAAGGGATTGAAAAAGTGGGTGATGCCTAAAACAATTCACACATAAGTATTAGGGGTTACACTAACCCACAGTCAGCCCCTGGGGAAATGATCGAATATTATTAATGACAGTAACATCGTATGTCTCGTCCAGCCACACGTCTGAAGATGACAGGAATTTGGAGTTGGGAAGCAGGAGGGAAAAGGGCTGGGTGGCTCTCACGGGCTTATCCGAGCACTTGCCAACTTTGTGCATGTTGAGAAAACCAAAGCCTGAGCGACAGGGGCTTAACCCACCTCCCCGGCAGTGAGCTGCATGTGTGCTGGGAGAAGGACTCATCAAGGGGCGAAACCCCTTGAAAAAACAGGAATCACCAGGATGTGACAGCTCCCAGGATTAAAGCGCTGCATTCGTTTACCAAAGATGTAATCTCCTTAGGGTAAGAGGAGGAAAATCAAAATTAAGCCTTTTTGACGTATGTGATGCTTGCTGTTTTAAAGAATACATCGGCTCTCCGATTAAAGGCTTTTGCGTATTATCTTTTTATTTCCCCATCCATATCACAGACTGGTGAGCAATATTAAGCCTCCAACTCCGTATTACGTTATACCTCCCCCACCAACAATAAAGTAATAAGCGCTGTTCTATGGGAATGTGTCTTACTAAATGTCTCTACTATATATTATCACTTAAATGCTGCAGGAAAGCAGCTCCCAGTCATGGTATAAGTGTCTCTATCTGGGTTTAAATATAACTTTAGGGATCCAGTTGCTTCAGCAAACCCAAGTTTTTCCCAGCTCCTCCTTGTTGTCATTCAAGGGGTTTTTTACCCTCTGTAAATTCTCCCATTTAAATATAGCTGAAGGGTAGTTTCAAATACTATAGTTTCTACTCATTTTTATTCAAACCACGTGGCAATTTTCCTGTTGGCAAAGTATGGGCATCTCTGAATCTAGCGAAAATCCTTGCAGCCACTCTGCTTCAAAAGAGTTTTAAAAAAAGAAAAAAAAACCACAACAATAACCACCCTTGTGTTTACATGGACAATAACACTGATACACTGCAGATGCTGCTGGAAAAGGTGATTCTCAGCAATGTTTCTTGGGCACTCAAAAAGGAAAGAAAGAAAGAGCATCCCACTGCAAGCTAAAGCTGTGCTGCCCGCGGGACCATCGGCAGTGCAAGATTGCAGGTGGCAAATGTCTATCTGCAGAATAGGGGAGAAATGGAGTGTGCTGCTCGGCCACCAGCGGGACAACGAGGCTGGGACTGCACGGGGCAAAGGGCAGTGCTATTCACTGCAGAAATGCTCCCATAGCTCACACGGGGAGCAGGTATGTCTGCGGGGGGAAAATATACCCAAGTTACACTGCTCCATGCACCTCCAGTGATGGAAAAATATCCAGACTGGTGAATTTTTGCAGAGATTCCCAATCACAGCAAAAGGCAAGTCCTTCCCCGGTGCTAACAGCGATAGCTCCCCTGAGCTTCACTCATGATCTTCCCACCTTGGGCTTACGAAAATGGGGGGATAATATTGGTGGGGAAAAAGGGCAAGTGAGGAAAGCTGCAGGGATCAACTAGAATTTCACCCCCACCCGTTAAGCTCTGGAAAACTCTCCAGAAAGGCTAAAGCAGGTTGTTTACTCCACAGCAGCTCACTCCTCTTTTACCAAGAGCTCCTCTGCCACACACACAGGCTCCAAAATGCATTTCATATTTACAGCTGCCAAGGAGGTGGGCAAAAATAGGGATTTGTGGGAGCAGTCCCGCGGGAAGAGCCCTTAAAGCAGGGAAGGGAAAGCCGGCACGTTGCTGGCGAGCGCCGTGCCGGCTCGCGAGGGTCCGCACGCCGCCGCCGCCTTCACCGCAAGCGCCGACCCCAGTTAGTTTTCCCCCGAGATAAGCGAGAAGTTCGATCCTTACCAAGTTTTCTTGGTTCCTGGCTGCTATTTTCTGATCATCTTCGCCCCCATTTTTCATGTATTTGACCTCTTCCACTGGTTTGATCCTATACTCATCTGAGGGCCGAGGGGGAAACAAAGGGAAAAAAAAAAAAAAAAAAAAGGTTTGAACCGGTGGAGGCCAGCAGCTGGGGAAAAAAAAAATAAAGAAAAGAAAAAAGGCAAACCAAACCCAAAAGTAGCTGACTAGAAAAGGCCCTAAGTGAGGACAGTAGTTAAAAGTTACATGTATTTGGCTTCAAATGCTTGAATACGACTGAGAGCAAGAAAGCTTTTCTGCCTGTGGGTTGAGGAAGCACCTCTGGTTCCAGCCTTTACGAACTGCTCACGGGCTACATCTTCCAGCCCCAGCACCAAGAACAACCACTATCAGGTATATGGGAGGTCAGCGTTACACTCTACCAGCTCTCCAGTTTTCTGGGTTACAAGTCCCAGTACAACCAAGACCTTTGCATCTGGCAAAATCCCCATTTTCTGTTTTTTAGCAGGCAGACACGTGGTAGCTTCTACACAGAGGAGTTTGCTTAGACATGTTCCTCACCTAGAGCAAACCTCCTCTGAAGAGCAATACAGAAGGCAGAATTGAAGTTAAAATCTGGAGGGAATAATAAAAAACCACCACCAAAACCCATTGCATTTTCCATTCTGCTCTTCCTGCACTGCTTTAATGGGGCCAAAGCAAGGGGTACCTAAGGCAAATCCACGTCAGCACGTCTACAGAAGGTGGTTTCCCATCTTCCCACCACCTGCGCACTACGATTCTCTACAGCAGCAGCCCCTCTCAAAGCTCCAGTAATGTTTGTTTTTAAATAAATTTATCCTAGTTTCTATGTCAAAATCAAACCACAAATGGATTTTCCTAAGCTTCTTGTACTGTAAGAAAAAAAAAATACTTACTAGTTTGTTTTCAGGAAAGTGTTAACCAAAGAGTGCACAAGGTAAATAAGATTAACTGTAAAAGTACAACTCTATTTTTAAGGTATGACGTGGTTTTGCATTTGTTCCCATTTCCATACATCTTTTAGACTCTAAGTAAAACTGGAAACTTATCAAATAGCAGCATCTCAGGTACAATGGAGGCTGAAAATAGACGGCGAAGGAAGAATTTAAAATCGCATTAGATTGGCAAGTGTGAACAAGCACACACTGAATTTATTTAGAAAAATGGAATTCTAGGAAATCAGAAGGTGACGATTCATAAAATCAAAATGGCTAAACACAACGAAAACTGGGAACAAGAAGCATTTGACTGACTCTAGTACCCAACTTGCATTTTTCTCCCTCCTTCGACCATCTCCGTTACCACGAGCATCAAATCCCACATGCAGAAAAGCAGAACACTCCCTCAGTGGCATTTATGGATTTCAATGGGAAAACAGACTAGGTGACTCCAAGGCCACGTGCACAACCTGCAGCCAGTCCTCATCAGCCAAAAGCAAAGGGCATTGAGCGACCCTGTTCTGCAGAAGAGGAGGAGGGTCTCAAGGCCCTGATGGTTGTTGATAACAACTACTGTCAAGTTGTGACATCAGCTTGGAGGCAAGTGGACCAGGACATTGATACGAATGACCCTTCTTCTTTTTTTTTTTTTTGTAATAATTGGTTGGAATTAAATTTATATATGAAAGTTAGACATAGTCCAATAGGATAGGAAGGAAAGGAATGTCAAGATGGACATGCTGTAAGCGCAATCAAGTGAACGTTTGAGCAACAGACAGCCCTTCAAAGGGGATGTACGGTTATAAGTGACTTTAAATGAATATGAAAATTAGATTAAAGACAGGTTTAAGGAATGGTTCTTTGATGCTTTCACTAAAGGTAACTCATTTTGCATCTGTCAATTCTCTAGTTTTGCTAAAATGGCTGCACAGATTTTGCTTGCTATGGTAAGAGTGTCAAGAAAGAAAAAAAAAGATGTTAAATTCCTGTTTTGATTTCTAATAAATTCATCATTTTGGGATACTTTTGGTCTAGCTGATCAGAAGCTGCCCCAGAGAACGCACAAAGCATTACGTAGGTCCTACCTAATCTCCAACAACTCTGATCGTCAGCAAGACCTTTACAGTTACAAGAAGTTCAGCATAAAGAAAACTATAAGTTGCAGGAAAAGAAAAGAAAGCCAAAAGTGAAAACTGGACCACCAAAAAAAAGAAAAAAGGATGCACAGATTTATCATTATGCATAATTCCTACCGCCCAATAAAAGAGAAAGCAGCACAGCATCACATCTAGCACAGACGACTTTGGAGAAAGAAGCGAGGAAGATTTTTTTTAAATGGGACAGGCTGCTGAAACTCTCAATAGGAAAATCTTATGAATGAAGATCTCCATCTGGAAACGGCTCACTCAGCTCCAACGTGTCACCCTGTTTCCACGGAAACGTGACAAAGAACAAGCACACTCATTAATACTGATGGCGGTGATAAATGGGCAGATCAACCTCGAATATTGGAACAATTACCGGGCAGCGAAGGGGATGAAAACTGGCTGCTCCTATGAAAAGGATTTCTTCGAGACTTGCAGACATCTGTGCAAGTGCCATTGCCACAGCTCCATCGGTAATGACATTATACTTTGGCTCAGTTGAGGGAAAAAAAAACAGACAAAAAAACACAGATCTGTCCTCCCACTCCTTTTTTTTTTTTTTTTTTCTTGCTAACTCCATCAATTAGATCTGGGCTTGCTCAGAGTTTTGCATAAATCTTTTGTTAAATATCAAGCCTTAAAAAAGAAGAGGGCTATCTGTTATTTATACTAACGTGCTGTCCCATTTCAGACATCTAAAGCCTGACAGATTTGGCTCTGCTGTTGTCGAGAGGGATGATGGGTGAGCCTCTGCTCGCTATTTTTAGCGAGACATATCACGTATCAGACATGAGCTATATGATACTTCACTCGGTCTACCAGGAACAAGGTTTCTGACCGCACCTTTGTTCTCCCGTGATCCAAATTTGTTTTGCACTATCTCTTGCCTCTGTAACGAAGGATGTGCCGAGATTTCTCCTCCGTTCGTTAAAATGCCAACGTCTGTCTGCACAAGCAGAGCTTTAATTGGCACGATGTGTTTCTCTGTGCTGTACTGACTTCTACCTGGCATAGAAGCAGCTCCCACTGCTGCATGCAGGGCACCAGGCACTGCAGATCAAAGCTTCGTGGACTATCTCCGTCAGAGATTTGAAAGCCAGCACTATATTTAGGAAAAGGACCAACTTCCTTCTCCTAAAAATATCTGCTAAAAACCATGAAAGATTTCATGCAACTTAGCTGAAATCAATTTAGTAGCAGGTGAATCATTTTGACGCTAAAATCAAAACACATCAATCGTCATCTACAACGACACTGCAAGTGCACCTAGAGGACGAGCTGTTGTGGGCTTAGATTTCCCAAGATCCAGCCTTGACATTAGCACAAAGCATGAACACCAAGGAGGGTGAAGTATCACAATGAGCTTGCTTGCGTGATTGCACAGTTACCTTAACTGGAGGCCTTTGGATACTACCCGCCTCGAGCGCTGCGTGTAGAAGCCATGTGGCTTTGGGGCATAGGGTGGATGGATGAGATGAGCTCTTCGGACCCTTTTCAGCTCTACCCATCCATTCGTGCACTTGGCAGCAATTGCATGGATATTGGCAGACATTACACCAAATATCAAAAAAGACCCACAATTAGAAAAGAAGTGTGAAGCTTGTAAACGAATGTTTCTCAAAGAAAAGTTTGGATAAGAGAGGATGCATCATTTATCTCTTCAGCCTCAACTTCAAGCCCCTGGGGAAAGTGGTATCAATGTGGTTGTTTTGATTCTGACTTAACTACAGCAAGGGTTGAGACTGAAATGCCACCAAGAAGCAAGCAGCAGTTGGTGAGCAGCCTGTCTTCTTCGTCCATGATCACACCTTGCATTGCTCATGTCTCGGGCAATTCTACAGTCCAGTGATCATGTTGTTTTTTCTAATATGAAATACTGAAAGAGAAAAAATAGCCTAGGAAATAAGCAGATCTATTTCTCCCAAAGGAATATCTGAAGAGATTTGTTCAGATTTTCCAAACGAAGTTACACATACCTTAATCTAATCTGAAATACTGCAGAAGTCACTGCTGAAGCCAAGTTAGTGGACAGAATCAGATATTAAACAGAGCACAGGTACGCAAAACAAATTTTGCCAACAAGGTATAAATCATCCAACAGAAACTGCTTAATATGTCTAAATATACTAAAGCAAAGGGTTCCAGTAGGTCTGGAAAGATCACCCTCTAGGATTGTCTCCTGCCTAGCTACTTCCAACATGAGACTGCAAGGTTTGGCTTTTGGGGGAGAAGAGGCAGGCTTGAAATTTTCAGTTCTAAATGCAGGCAAGCACCTACATTTCAGCCTCAAATTAAACCAAGTCATCTAAATGTGATGCATCTTTTGGAGGTCCTCTACTTCCCCCCACAACCTGGTTGCTGCCAGCCAGGAACTTCTGCTACTGGAGGAACCGCAGCATGGCTTCGAGCAGCACCTAAGGCTGGGCAAGACAGGAATAGCTCTTTCCTGAGCCATCAAGTAGCTCCCATTATATCCCCATGTCACGTCCATGCATTATGGAACATTTACTCCCTCAAGGCTGATGTCTGCTCAAAACAGAGCTAGGAAATTTCAGCAAATTTCCTCTATTTTATCAGGCTATTTCCTTCCAGGCCCAAATCACACCAGCTTGTAACAACAAAGTGCCTCCAGCACTGGCGGGTTTGACCGCTGCACGGTTCCATTATCTTTAATGGGCTTCAGCTCAACTTCTGCTAATACCAGAGCAAAGAAAACTCCCGTTGCCTTATTAACCCATCCTTCATCACTGCGAGCAGCACTGGAACTCGCTCTGATCCATTCGCTCTCTCCATCCCTCTCCCCCAAAGGGCAGAGGCCCACTTCTGCCTGTAGAAAGAGAACATGCTGTTCTGATGCCTGGGCGCTGCTGCTGAGCAAGCTTCTCAGTTCATACATCTGAGGTCTTCTGATTTGCTTTTTCCTTCCAATCAAATAAAATAACAGATGGTCGTCAAGCCATAATTGAGCTCCCT